GGCCGGGACGCTCCGCCCGGGTGGAAGGAAGGCGGCGCGGGGGCCACGGGGCGCAGGTACCGCGGGCGGCCCTGGCAGCCGCATCCCGGCCCGAGCCGCGGCGAGCAGCGGCGCTCCGGCGGCATCCGGCGGCGGAGGGCTCGGCGCATCCACCGGCGCGGGCCGGGGGCCGCGGCCGGCGCAGCGGAGCGGAGCGCGGGGCGGAGCGCGGGGCTCGGCGCTGCCCGGCCGGCCGAGCATGCACTGAGCGAGCGGCGCCGGCTCGGAGCCGCCCCGCTGCATGGTGTGCGGAGGCACGGTCGCGATAATAAATGATAGAGGATACAATGACTTTGCTGTCTCTGCTGGGTCGGATCATGCGTTACTTCTTGCTCAGACCGGAGACCCTGTTCTTGCTGTGCATCAGCCTGGCACTGTGGAGTTATTTCTTCCACACGGATGAGGTGAAAACCATTGTTAAGTCCAGCAGGGATGCGGTGAAGATGGTGAAGGGCAAGGTGGCCAAGATCATGCAGAATGACAGGCTCGGGGGTTTAGACGTGCTGGACGCTGAGTTCTCCAAGACCTGGGAGTTCAAGAGCCACAACGTGGCTGTCTACTCCATCCAAGGCCGCAGGGATCACATGGAGGACAGGTTCGAAGTAATCACCGACCTGGTGAACAAGACTCACCCCTCCATCTTCGGGATATTTGATGGGCACGGAGGAGAGGCAAGTGCTCAGCTGGAAAAAAAAAGCGATAATGCAACACCACCAAAAAAATAAAAGGGGGGTGCGGGAGGGAGGACGGTCCAAGGCAAGGCGCGGATGTGTTCTCACCCACCAGGTTTGTACATTGTGGGGAGGGGGGTTTCCTTGCTTTTTTGGAGGGGGGCGGATGTCTCCGGAAAAGGGCCGTGTAATCCTCCCTTGCCTTCATCCCTCCTCACCCCTTCCTCGCTCAGCACGGCACAAACGCGCCCCCAGCCCCTCTGCCCTTTGCGGTGCTCGAGGTTTAATTGAAGGCAAGGCTGCCGGAGGTGGCTCTGACGTGCGTGGAATATCGATGGATGGGCACAAACTCCCCGGAGTCATCTTTTGTTCCAGCCGAGCGTGCTGTGGTGTGATTTTGGCAGCGGGCAGAGCCGGGCTCGGCGGCAGTGCTGCTGAAGGACCCTAAAAAGAGAGAGTGTGTGTGTGTTTAAAATGTGCTTTGGGTGATTCCCCGCCCAGGGAGCGAGCCGAGCAGGAGCGCGGTGTTGGGGCACGGTGTGGTGGAGTTGGTGGCATCGCCAGCCCCGGTGGGAAGGCAGCAAAGCTGGCATTTGGCGTGGCACAGGGAGCAGGCTGGGATGCTCCAACGGAGCCTGGCGGGTGCCAGATGTTGGAACTGCAGCTTCCTCTGCCTTTAGGATGTGGTGCTGCCACGCAGCTTTTGGTGTGGCACAAGGCACTGGGCGTTTCGTAACTGTGGGCAAGGAAAGGACGAGGAGTTTGTCCTTGCGTGGCAAAGCGGCTCCAGCTCGGGTGATGGGCAGAAATGTTGGGAATTGTGAGAGAGAATGTCCCTCCAGCTGTTCCCCCCGATCCAAGAGTCCAAATCCTTCCTGGAAAAGCTCTGGCAGCGCCCAGACACTGACAGGGTGGCACAGGGGTGGCAGCTGCTGCTGCTGAACCTGGAAGGGCTCCTGGAAAATCCAGGCTTGGCATCGGGAGCCGCTGCCAGGCTTGGGAAGGGACTCTGCTCTCCTCGCAGTGTCGGCTGGTTTACCCCCTTTAAATTAACACAGACTCTCTGGATATTGAGGTTTGTCAGCTTCATAAAAAACGCTGAGCCCTCTTTTGGGTTTTTTTTTTGGGTTTTTTGTCTGATTTCAGGTGGGGCACAGCTGTGCCAGCTCCTCCTGGCATTCTCAGGTCAGCTCGCTGTCCCTGGGCATTGGAGGAGCACAGGTGGAAATGTCCATGTGTCCCTAAGTTTTGGGGTTTTTTTTGTCTGATTTCAGGTGGGGCACAGCTGTGCCAACTCCTCCTGGCATTCTCAGGTCAGTTCGCTGGGCATTGGAGGAGCACAGGTGGAAATGTCCATGTGTCCCTAAGTTTTGGGGTTTTTTTTTGTCTGATTTCAGGTGGGGCACGGGTGGAAACGTCCATGGGACACGGGTGGAAATGCCCATGTTTCCCAAAGTTTTGGGGTTTTTTTTTGTCTGATTTCAGGTGGGGCACAGGTGTGCCAACTCCTCCTGGCATTCTTGGGCCAGCTCACTGTCCCTGGATATTGGAGGGACACGGGTGAAAATGCCCATGTGTCCCTAAGTTTTGGGTTTCTTTTGTCTGATTTCAGGTGGGGCACAGGTGGAAATGCCCATGTCTCCTGAAATTTTCGGGTTTTTTTTTTTGTCTGATTTCAGGTGGGGCACAGCTGTGCCAACTCCTCCTGGCATTCTTGGGCCAGCTCACTGTCCCTGGCCATTGGAGGAACACGGGTGGAAATGTCCATGGGACACAGGTGGAAATGTCCATGTGTCCCAAAGTTTTGGGGGTTTTTTGTCTGATTTCAGGTGGGGCACGGGTAGAAATATCCATGGGACACAGGTGGAAATATCCATGTGTCCCAAAGTTTGGAATTATTTTTTTTGGTCTGTTTTCAGGTGGGGCCCGGGCGGAAATGTCCATGGGACACGGGTGGAAATGCCCATGTGTCCCAAAGTGTTCCCAGCTTTTCCTGGAGGATCAGGAGCCCCGAGTGGTTCACTGGGGCCATCTGGCTCTTTTGTGCTGTGCCTTTGTGTAATCTGAATTTCCCTGTGGGAACCGAGCGGCCCCAAACAATCGGGGAAGTGTCCGAGTGGTGTTTTTAAACAGAGGGACTGCGAGCTTGTGGGATCCAGGGTGAAAGGGGGATCTGATTTCTTTCATTAATTTTGTAGCTTGCCCTGCACAAAATGCCAAGCTGAAGGGTATTAAATAACCCCCAAGGAACACAGGGAATGTTGGCATTTTGTTAATGTGCCTGCTTTGTTGGGCATCTCGAAATTCATGCGTTAATGTTGGGTGCGTGGAAAACTCATTTGGCCTTTTGTGTTCTGCTTCCTCAGAACTGGCTCTGATGGATTCAGTGGCAAAGTACAGGGAGGTTTTTAATTTTGAAAGGTTCAGCAGAACTCTCCACGAATCTTTCTAAATTTAGTGGTTTATAAATGCATCCGTCTCGCATCTGTTATTCATAATGGAATCCTAAGTGTTCTTCATGGCCTTTACTCCTACAAAAATAAATCCGAGGACCTAATTAGTTTCAAGTTTTAGATTTTTGGTAAAACTGTTCAGAAGAACATGAGCTGTGTGCTGTGCATACAGTAAAAAAAAAAAAGAAATAATGAGGAACAGGTTTCTTCTAAGCAGGTTTTGTAATTCTGAGTGGAAAACAGGAAGAAATAAAAATTTATGCTCTATTTAATCCCGAGTACATAATACTGCATTTTAAGTCTCTATTTGAAAGGGGGGGGGGTTTGTAGGTCTTAATTTATTTTAATTTTTTACAAACATCAAATACTCTGTGAAACACTTCATCTAAGCACGCAGCAAAGCCTTTGTGAAGGTTAAATTTTCCATATGGGCTCCCATTATGTATATTTAAAGAATAAAGAACAGCTGATCCCTGGGGTTACATGTGAAACAAACTATTCTATATGGGGAGAATTTTTTTTTTTTTTCCAAACAGCCAATACCAGAAATGAGATGCCCAATTAATTATTTCCAGCTATATGCAAGGGAGCCTGTCTCCATTAATTACTTCCTGCCATATCCCATTGAAGTGGAAGGATGGAGGAGTGTGATTCAAGCAGCTTCAATTACTGTGCCCTGCTAATTTATGAAGATTTCTCAGCTTTCATATCACCAGCATTTGCATAAATTCTACTTTTATGTCATTTCCTCTTCCAGTTTTAGCCTGGATAGGTTGGCAGACATTGCTTGGGATTTTGTGTGTGGCTTGAGAAAGGAGTAAGCAAAAATAATTATTAATGCTCTGGTTTGCTGCAGTAACTTCTGAAAGGCAAGAATATTTCAGAGAGAAAATTGGATGTGGGGTGTGTCGTGCAAGCTTTCATTAAAAGTTAGTTTCTTGGAGCTATGATGGTGATGATGATAATGATGATGCAGAGCAAGCAAAGGTCAAAGAAGTAGATTTAGAAAGAATAAAGAAAAGTTGCTGCCTCTTGTCTCACTGAATGACTTTGGCCAAAGGATCAGCCTTCAGGTGACTGAACTTACAAAAAAAAAAAATTCTGTTCTCTCATCAGCTTCTTTTAAAGGTTTAAAAATGGCTTGAGTGCTTTTTTTTCTTGCCCTATTCCCTTTATTGAGGAATTTTGGGGCTGTCCAGGCTGGAAGATGGAGCAGTGTCAAACTCCACAAATGACCAAATAACAAATGATGAGCTGGGAAACGGAGCAGAGGAAAGCCTGGCTGCTTAATTAGAATGATTTCCCTATTTTAACTACCATTTACTCTCAAATATTTAAGGTTTAAGCACGCAGTTTAATGAGATCTCAGCATTAGACAAGGGCAAAATAGCTCAGCTCCCATCTGCAGTTTTATAGTTATGGCTTTGCTGTAAATCATCGGGTTTTTCCTAACCCTGTGGGGTGAAGATTTTAAAAATAATTATGGTAATAGATAGTACCTTCCCCTGCCTGGGCTTGTTTGCAGTTGTAAACGGATGTGGCACATTACAGCTCAGTAACTGTCTCATAAAAAATGTCTTTTTTTATTTCCCTCCACCTCCTGCACGGGGACATGGCAAGGCTTGTCCCTCATGATGTGTAGCTGTGGGTAAGAGCTTTTCCTGCCTGGAATAATTGGGTTCTGGAGCTGCTGAGCCAGTGTTTCAGGATGGAAAATACACCTTTTTTAGTTTTATTTTTTTATTCCCAGCGCAGGGAAAGGCTGGGGGAGGTGGAATGGGGAAGGAGAGAGCGGAGTGGAAGTGGCTCCATGGGCTCAGGACCTTGAAATCAGCAGCACCAAGTGCTGGTTACTGATTAACTTAAAAAAACATCCAAAAAAAAAAAAAAAAAAAGAAAAGAAATAAAAGCGGGAAAGGTCAGAAGATAACGTGGAGAGTCCTGAGGAGCCTCTGGAAATGGGAATGTTGAGGTGAGGCCTGGAGGAGAGGGCACTGTGCCAGCTGGGTTTGGATAAACCTGCTGTGCATTCCAGTCCAGCTCGCTCAGCCTAACAGCAGAAGGTGTTTGTGCTGTGCTGAAAGAAGAGAAAGCTGCCAATTTTACAATTTCAGTTCATTTTTTTGGTGTTATTTTAATCTGCTCATTCTCATTCCGGCCCCATCCCTGTGATGCTGCGCTACTTAAACAATCTCAGCAATGAAAATTTATCTGTCAGGCTTTTGAGTCGAGGCCATTCAGGATTGATGGCTTGGGGTTTTTATAAAAGGTAGGAATAAATCAAACAAGAGCTTTGGAGTTTCTCTGGGTGTTACAGCCCAGTTGTAAGGTGAAGTCTTTGAGGGGTTACAGTTTTTAAACAGAAACTGCCAGCATGGTTTTCCTTTTATAGCCATTTCCTTTGGTTTCTAATCTAGAATTCTCTGCAATGTGCCCAAATATTTGAATAAATATTTACGTAGGTGAGGTCACGTTGATAGGCAAGTCCCAAATCTGCTTATGAATTCCCCTGCAGTGGCCTAAAATACAAGTCAAAAATGATCTACA